GTAACTCCAGGGCATCGTGAGAAAAAGTGCTCTGTGAACAAGCTCTTAGGATATCATAGCTTAGTCAATGTATCACAATGTCATACTGAGCAGGGGAATCAGAACAGAGAACCCACAGGAACCCCAGCCTGCCTCCCTTTGTGGTTTTAAAGACTCTCCCCAACACAAACACAGCTCTGGGTGGTGGTCCCAGAGGGCATCAGAGCCAGACCTCAGTCTGCAGGCTCGGAGCCAGCTGCAACATCATCTCAGGGCCCAGGGGCCTCCTCCATTAGACCCCAGAGGCTAGAGACGCCCAAATACACTGTTTGAGAATCCTCTGACCCAGCTTTTGTGATTTAGCTTGAGCAGCATGGGTATGTCACGGCTATCATCTATGATCTGACAGCAGGTGTATATCAGAAATCTTGTGAAGTCACATGAAAAAAAGATCCCCTGCTAGCCCAAAGCTGTCTCTCCCTTCTGAAAGCTGCCTTTACCTGAAGGTGAATACAGAGCCCTCCCTCTTGGCCACCCAGGTAGAGATGGCATGGTAAGCATGGGATGGACAGAATCAGGGAAAGCAATGGCCCAAAGACAGTCTCTCTGCAATTCATTCTTAAAGGCAAAACCCCAACCACAGGATATTGTGGTTGAATAGCACAGCCAATTAGCTCATGAGGACAGCTCCCCACAGGTGGTCAGAGCTCAGAAGACACCCTCACCAACCCCCAGCCTGGTCCAGGCCACCAAACCTGCCAATGTGTCTGCTCTCATCTGGGAGCACCCGTACTAAGAGTGGCAAACAGCAGAACAAGTTGCTGGTTTAAAGCACTGTGTACAGTCTTGCACTTGGACAAACCAGAACCTTCTGACAGTCACAGCCCCTGCCACCACAGTTTAGCCAGAACAGGGCTCCCAGAGGCAGGAGGCAACCAGCTGCATCAGAACAGGATCACATGTGGCGGTGTGCTCGACATCCCAGCACAGAAAACTAGGCTACAGGAATCGCCATGACTACAGAGACAGCTGGTCACGTGTGCCGGATGGGACTACCAGTGAGGATTGGGGTGGTGACACATGCCTGTATCCCTCAGCAGCACACAGCCCTCTCCAGCCCACATAGTCAGTCTGGCCTTAACAGCAGTGAGATGAGGGTAGGAGGAAGACTCCCCAACAGCCCAGAGGGAATAGAAAGCCTTTGGGCTCTCAGTTTCCAGACACCCTCACTGAAACTCTGGTTCACTAGATTTAGCAGTCCTCTTGACATGGCAGCTTCCTGCCCTTGAAAATTTGGGCACAGTATAATCTGTTTGTCATCACTGACCAGCCTGAATAATATCCTTTCAGTAATACTCATTTCAACCCCTACAAAGGACCCCTGGAAGTCTTAGTACTACGCATCTGTTTCTAGAGGTTATTAAGGTAAATTTATTCTTATGTAAGTATAGGCTGATGGGCTGAAGTCTTACTGGCCAGCAACTCCTTGGTGTTTCTAACATTTGAGCCAAATGAGCACAAGAGTCTTTCCCTTTCCCTGGATCTGAAAAGGCTGCCTGAGCCAGCAAGAGAACGTGCTCACGTGTGTGTGTGTGTGTGTGTGTGTGTGCATATAGCACAGTGCCAGCCAAAGTGGGAAAGTCTCCCAATATGGTTGGCACAAAAGCCAAGCTGACGGGCTTCACATTGGGCCTGGGGACAGCCCTGACCGTGGTGTCAGGAAGCAGTGTTCTGGGTTTATGGGGATTCATCTGGGAAGAGGAGTTTCCAATACTGTCTCCAACTGAACTGCATCTGTCTCCTTTACATAAAACATATATTCTTAGCCTGGGTTTCTGCACTTGGGTTACTTGCTTCTTTTGGAAACTTGAGACAGGGGAAGCTCTAGCTGTGTAGTTCAGGAAATGGATAATGTGTCAGACACTCTCGCAGAGTACACACCATGCATGGGGAACAAGAGAGAACCTTCTTTAGGAAGCTGGAGGCAGGCAGAGCCATCCTGGCCCAGAGAACTCAAGGAGAAAAGTTGCTCCCCTAGCTTTGCTCCCCTCAGGCCACTCCTCCCCAGCTGCCCCAAGCAAACCACCTCTGGCCCAGACATGCGCTGGCTCTGCCCCTCTCTGTGGGCACTGCATAGACATGGGGAAGCTGCCCTTACAGGGAGGCCTCAAAGCTGCTTCCTTTCTTCTTGTGAAGCCCACAGAGTTGAAAAGCAGACAGTTGATTTATTATTTCCTTGTCACATGATGGACTAAATGGCTTGATTTAACCTCTCCAAAAAGGACTTATCTTTGTGCCTATGTGGTATGAAAAACTCCTGGCTCAATGGGTGCTTTCCCGGAGTGTGAACAGAAGCTTTGGAGTGGACAAGAGGGATTCTGGTGGCATTGAGGCTGCCAATAAGTGGATGCGCACGTTCTGGGTGGAGTCGGGTGCCCGGCAATGTGAGGAGAAGAGGTGGTTTGACACCTTCACCGAGAGGAGCTGCTGGTTCCCCGCAAGGCTCCATCCATCTCCCTTCATGAATACATATAAAAATACAGTCAGAGGGAGAGAGGCAAACCATGAGAGACTCTTGAATGCTGACAAAAACTGAGGACTGATGGATGTGGGGGGGAGGGGGGGATGGGCATGAAGGAGGGCACTTGGGGATGAGCACTGAGTGTTATGTAGAAACTAATTTGACAATAAACTATTTGTAAAAAAAAAAAAAAAAAAATACAGTCAGAGGATGGCAGCTGGTTTCTGGGGCAAGGGACACAAGAGATGCCACTGTCTATCTTCTGGCACCTAAAGTACCTTGAAATAAAATCCTCCTTTGCTGTTTTCTCCAGTGGTTCACTCATCAACAGCTTGAAGTTTTCCCTTTCACTGAATAAAACTTAACTCCATCCAGAGAAAATGAAAGAAAGAAAAAAAATATTTAGGAAATAAAATTTAGGCCGTTAAGACTAAGAAGAAAAGTAACAATAAAAACTAAGGCACAATCCTCTAAGCAAATTCTCCAGAAGCTCTCAAAGTCCCAATGCACCCAAATCAAAGGAGGCCCCCAGCTACCCCGACCCAGGGTCCTGGCAGTGCCTGTACCATGAAGTATCTGCACTTCATATACTTCCCTGCTTCACTAAGGGAGCCCTTGTCTCCACGTTTCAATAAATCATGAGCCTGAATCACTTAAGTTCCTTCCAGCGATGACAGTGCCTCGTCTGCATCCCTAAGAGATTAAACTCATATTAAATTGGCACATCAGAATGCCTTTGGAGCTCACCTCAGGACTCCAGTAGCAGCACTGGCCTCTGAATTCCTGAAATTATGCTGAGCCAGCACTGGTGGGGCAATGGGCTCCACGGAACTGTCAGTGTCTTCAAAGTGTGGTGTCAACCTACTTTCTCATTCTCAGCTCAGGGAACATGTGCTGAGGAAGCAGGTGCTCTGCAAAGGCACCAGGGCCAGAGCAGCATGGGCAATACCCTCAGTCTCTCCCAAGCAGAGTTTATAGACTTGTGAGAAACCCGAGTGTGAAACAAAGTGTGCTCACACTGTGACCAAGAGAAACAGGGTGGACAGAGAGTATGTGTGTTTGTGCACAAGCACACACAGCAAATCTTCCACATGGTAAAGGGTATACCACTGGCTGCAGCAAGAAAATAAAGATCTTCTCCCCCTTCCTACCGCTTTGCCTTGATTCACTGGCCTGGAGCAGGGATAATTAAAGAGGCAAGAAGAAAAACCAATTTAGTTGGCGTATTTCTCTGAAAACCTCTGCTATTAAAAGCACAAACAACAGGCATCTTGCTCCATATTGTCATGTTCATTAAATCAGGAAGATGCGCCCCAGCTGGGATTCTGGACCCAGTCACAGACAGTACTTAGTGAAAGTGACTATGAGGGACTTCTATGCATCTTCTGATAGTTTTCTTGCTTAAAACAACTGAGAAAGTTCTTTCCAACAGTTCCTAAAAGTTGTCCAAATTCTTAGGTGCATCTCGTATTTACAGAGGTTATGGCACGTCTGATAAGAACTGTCAAGGTTATTTTGATAGTTATTTGCTAATGTCGTATCTTCTGTGACTGAAGATTTCTAGTTAGTTGACTGATATAAACCCTCATCCAATTCTCAATGTGTTCACAGTGTCACAGATCTTTATACTGACTACTAACGTGAAAACAACCTGGAAATTCATTGCTAATGGCAAACCTGACAACATTAAACATGTCCAATGCTCTCTGTTCTTAGAATAGCTTTTCCCATTTTATTCAATAAATGAGAACCTGTCTACTGGGATCCTCACTGAGAAACACCAAAATGGAATCCATAGTTCTGTGGCCTCAACAGGCTGCCGACATTTGATAAGGTAAGAGAACTCCACACACAAAGAAAGAATATGTGCGCGCACACACATAATGGCACAGGCACGCTGGTCTCTCCTTTAGACTTGTGAGGGCTGTAAGCCTGCACAACTCTGCATAGAGAACCCCTCTCTCCTGCTTAGGTCACAACTCTGACTCAGGGTCTAAAGTGCCATCTCAGCTCTGACAAAAATAATACTTACAGAGCCCCACAGGGATGTCCAATATCCTCCTGAAGCACTTTTCTAGATTTTGAGACCAGAATGGGGGATGTGGTGAGTGCCACATGGGTGGGCCTGCCGCGAGAATTATGACGCTGAGAGAGAATACTGCCCTGGAGAGGCAGTGCCTCCCAAACCCCAGGGGAGACCTAATCCATCTGCTGAAGGTGAATGTTTCTGAACCCCTGCCATCTACCTTGCAAAGTCCTGGAAATCTAAGCTTCCATCATAGAAGTGGCTCCATCTCGTGGGAGAGGCAGCACATAAATAGACAATCACACACCACATGGAGGGCCTGCTGAGACAGGGAGAAGCAAAGCCCAGAAGAAAGGAGACAAAGAAATTGATTATTGACCTAGCCTTCTTCTCATGGGTTCAAGGGAACAGGTCATAACTTCTCTACCTTGTGCCCTCACCCGTTCACCAGAGTTTAAGATGTATTTTTGCTAAAGCCTCATTCTAGATGGAAATGGGCTGTGTCATTCATGGTGTCCAGAGACTGTTAATGTGGCTACACTGACACACAGGCTATGCTACCATCACAGCAAGTTTATTGCCGTGGTGACAGTGAGACCCATAACCACGTCTGCTGGGCTCAAGTCATGCAGGGGAAGCAACAAGACTTTTCAATATTGGAAGCAAGGACTAATAATTCTACATCAGAGCACAATCAGTGCACTTCATACAATTTGACTTCTAGGGCCCTAATGCAAAAAAACTGGATCCCAAAGATTAGAGGTGGGGAATTTTTGAAGTATGTCCATATTCAAGTGGAGATCAAAGAAGCCCAACTGAAGAGCTCTGGACTGACAGTGAACTGTGGGTTGAACACAAAAGTTCTTTTTAAAAGGGCTATATTGAAGATTATGATTCTGACTTTGAGGAACTATGGTGATTGGCTATGGAAGAAATCCTTAAATAAAATGTAAAATTCCTTAAATAAAAATGTATTGACTTTAAATTAAAAAAAAAAAGATTCGATCTTGCTAAACACAGGTGTGCATTAGACCAATGTCAGATGCAAAGCTAAAAAAGGTTGTGGCATTTACATACAACATGCCATGCACAGTTGTAAGTGCTTTATACTATTCATTCATTTAACCCACCCAATGTCCCACTGAGGAAGGAACCACCCACATTGTACAGGTGAGGAAACTGAGGCACAGAGGGCTAAGGCGAAGAACTCCCCTTGGATTGTGCAGGCAGAACACTACAGCACTGGCCCCTGGCTCTGTGCTCTATACCATTATGCTGCTATGTGTTAAAAATCAGAAAACAGATTAATTATCTCAGGTCAGAGATATGAGGGCCTACAGTGAGGGTAGGGAAGGTTACAAAATATAAGCAGAAGAAAAATATTATTTCCTTCATGTGTTCTGTAAAGTACCTTTGTTGGGAGGGTCAGAGGGGCAGTCATGCTGGCTGCCATTTGCCCAGGAACATTCTTATGTAAGTCAGAAAAGGCATCCCTTTCTCAAGACAAATCTAGGATAACTGGAATGTGAATAGTTGCCCCCTCCCATTCCCTGAGTTGTGCAGTACACAACCTGCACAACATCATAGGGCAGATCTAGGAGCTATAAGAGGGTAATTAAACAATATAATGGTTTTAGGATGAAGAAAATGTATCATGAGAAAAAATGCACATATATAAACTCTCTGGTCTCTACCATCTGAATATTTCCTTAAATTATGTATTATAAATCTTTATATGTCAAACTATATAGCAACATTTGCCTCTAAATAAAAGAGAAATCATGATCTCCACCTGACCTGGTGGTTTAATAACCGCCTGTTGTATGTTCTATTTTCCAAACAAATTCCTTTCCAAATGACGCAGATACAAGCAAGTTTCATAAAAACACTAAATACAGCATTGAGTACAATCCAAACCAAGAGACTATTAAATACGTGAGAAAAAATCAGAATATGCTGCTTTAAAATCTTAGCTGTAACATGAAAACCATGAATGTAGGCAATGCGACTGTGCTGCCTGTGTGAGAAAACGAGAAACAACGGGAACTGTCAGTGTTGGGAAACAAGGGAAGCCCTCAGCCGCCCGGGCTTGGAGCAGCACACACCCTCCCGAGGCCACCTCCACACAGCCAGTCCTGGGGCCCTGCTTCCCCAACACTTCTACCTGCAGCAGGAACGATTTGTGTCAGGGGGAAAAAAGTAATCAAACAAGGAAGGTAAGCACATTTAAAGCTAGAGATGCAGGCATGAATCCAAGCCAATGAGATTTACTTCTGAAGTTTGTGAAGAAGAGGGTGAGCAGCTAGCTCTGATTTGCCTGGCATGTTCCCGGGATTAGCACCCATGTCCCAGGAAATCCCTCGGGTCCAGGCAAACTGGGACAGTGTGGCATCTCTGAAGAAGATAAAACTGAAGCCTTGCAAGAAGACAAAGCACTGGTGGGGATGAGGTAATCATTTCATATGTAAACATCAAATTCAATAAATTTGGAGAGTTTGTACTTATTTAAATTTATCCAAATAACTGATTTGACTTTTTGCCCTACCTAAACAACACTGAGTGTTAATTTTTTCTCCATGGCTTCAATCTTCCTAAAAATCCTAAATCTCTTTGTAGGCACCTTTTAAAAAATAGGTAATTACTAAGTTATAACAGATGCAGGTGTTATATCGCTAAGTTTTAGTAGTTTGATCCTAGTTCCTCCTTTGAGAGAAATAACTGTTCTGTATTTACTTTATATTTTAATGTTTTCCAAATTTAGCCCAAAAAACATGCCATTATTATAATTTTGTTGATCTTGTTTATTAAAAGAATTTCTGTTGATCCAAAATCTGCACAAAAAACTATCAAAGAATTAGTATCCAGACTACATGAAGAACTCCTACCAGCAATATAAAAGACCAACACCCAAAAGAAACACAGGCAGTAGGTACTATGGTGGGTTATGGAATAATGTCCTCCAATGGGATTCATGTCTCCCTGGATCCAGGCCCTTGGAAAATTCTCTTCCACACTGAACCTAGCCTCAGTGGCCACATGGCTTGCTTTGGTAAATGAGACAGTGTCACTAAAACGCAAGCAGATGTTTAAAAAGTGCAATGGCATCTGCCTTCTCTTGCTGTTTATTAGAGCCCAGTATTCACCACATGAGAAACCCAGCTCAGCTTTCTGCAGGATAATAAGCCACATGGAGAGGGTCCCCAGATATTCCTGCTATGCTAGTAATCTCAACCAACACAAAGGTTTGTCAGCTAAATGAAATGGATGTACTTTTAAGCTTCCAAGTTCTGGGGGTGTTTGTTATGCAGTAAACGCTAACTAATATGGGAAGACACGTACAAAAGATGTTCACTCTCACTGATCATCAGGAAAATGCACACACTGAGATACTGTTTCATACCCACTAGATTGGCAAAAATCAATAAACTGAGAATACCAAGTATTATTGAAGACATGGAGTACCAGTAACTGTCACCTATGGCTGCTGGGAACATAAATTGGCACAATCTTCTTGACAAAAAATTATTTGGTATTATCTATCACTGATAAAAATGCATGGACTCTATAGCCTAGCAACTCTGCTACTAGGAATATTTCTACAGAATCCTTGCATGTGTGCATTAGGAAGTAAATATAAGTATGTTTATGTTAGCACTAGCCATAACAGCGCCAAACAGCTCAAATGCCATCAATGGTAGAATGAGTGCTTGAACTGTGTTCTTCATACTATGGAATTATATGCAGCAGTGAGTGGGAATAATCTATTGCAACATATATCTAAACCACAGTGCTTAAAAGAAGTCACAAAATAGGTACTATATGAATCCATATATACAAAATTAACCAATAGGTAAAATTAAACTATACCTAGTTGAGGGATGGATGCAAACACACATCATCATTAACACCATTTAGGATGGTGGTTACTTCTGGGACAGAAGGGGTGAAATGAGACCTCTGGGTTGTATGATGCTCTACTTGGTTCTGGTTGCTGAGAATATGAGTTCTCATTTTACTATCATCTGCGAAGTTGTATACATGTTTTTACATTTATCATAAAATACCTTTATTTTGCCTTCATTTTTGACATATATGACATATGATATAAACCACTCACCAAGTGATTCGGTGGTTTTTGATAGAGTCACAGACATGCGCCACCATCACCACAGTCAGTTCTAGAGCGTTTTTCATCACCTCAAAAAGAATCCCTATACCCTGTGACCTCCCAGCCCTCATCTCAAGCTGTAAGCAACCAGTAATTTCCTTTCTGTCTCTACAGGTCTCCCTATTCTAGATACTTCATACACAACAGGATAATAAAATATACAGTCTTCTTCAACTGGTTTCTTTTCACTTGGCATAATGTCATTTTGTTTCATACTATATTTCACAATTAAAAATATTTTCAATACCTAAAAGGAATAATGAAAAGCTCAGTTGGTTAATACAAAAAATAAGGGCACACCAAGAAGGGAACCTTGGAGGCGGCACTGCCTAAGCAGCCAGTCCATCAGAATGGATGAGTGCACTTGTGCTCAAGTTTACAAAGGGAAGAGGTTGCCAGGTACATCTGGACCAAGACAGGCGAGCCTGAAGCATGACTGTCCTGCACCTGTCTTGTCTGGAAGAGGCTGTTTCTGCACAGGACCAATCCTAGCACTGATACTCCCAGAAGTACCCCCATGGGAAGGGATAGGGCAGTGACATGGTAGGAGGTAAGCTGCAGAGGTCATCCCAGAGCTCAGTCTGCCCTGTAAGGTCATTGGTTTTACTTAGTGAGTACACTTATTTGGAGACTGATGGAGGATACAGGGAGGGGGCATCTGAAGGAGAGAGCTTCTGAAGCTCTCCAAAGCCATCCTTACCACACCACTGGTTATGGTTATTGGAAATGAAAGGAACAACCTCCACACTTAAACCTGGGTATACCTGTTTGTGGGTATGACCTCATTCTGATCTCTGTCCCACTGCTCACTTGGCCCCTGCAAACCCAAATTCAAGTCCATGCCTCTGGACAATTTCCATACACTCAGATTTGAGCCCCCCATGCTGAAATATGGGAAAATGAAAAATAAAGCAGTACTACTGCTGAATGCGGTTGTGATTCCAGGTAATGAGTCACATTATCTTAAACAGCGGGAAGTCTAACTAGAAAGAAACTAACCAACTGCCTGTACTGCAGATCCTCCTCTTCCACTGAGGACCCTTCCTCACACACAGTCTTGTGGCAGGGTTCCCCTGGAGCCAGAAGTCAGCGGGGATGAGGACATTTGCCTGACACCAATGTCCTCTCTCTCAAGCAAGTGTCACACATATTCATCACATGGAACAGGCCTGCCACACTGCTCCTCACCAGAATGCAAACTTGAAGACCAGAGTCCAGGGTGCATGTTCACAGCTCACTCCACAACACCTCAGAACACCCCAGAGGTGATTTCAGATTTACATATCACCTCCACTCTCACATCTCCACTGCCTCCCTGGTCATCTACACAAAAGTATCCAGCTTTAAGACAAGCCAAAGTAATGCCACCTGTCACATTAATGCCATACAATGTTAGGTGAGACCCTGGCAGGCTTATGCGGAAGAAGAGATGAGGGCACCA